GGGGGGGGGGGCGCGGCCACAGGAGGGCGCCCCTGAAAGCCGGCCCCCCAACAGATGCCTTCATCCTCAACAGTGTCTTCTGCAGAAATTTTTAATTTTCATGAAATCCAGCTTCTCAATTCTCTCCTTCATGGGTTGCGCCTTCGCTGTCGCATCTAAAAAGTTACTGACGACCCCAAAGCCGTCTAGGTTTCCTCCCATGTTATCTTCTGGGAGTTTTGCAGTTTGGAACTGACGCCTCTTTCTGTGGCCCGTTTCGAGTGAGCGTTTGTGGGGGTGAAGGTCTGTGCGCAGACTCACTGCTCTGCACCTGGACGCCCAGCGGCTCCGGCCCCGTGCTGAGGGGACTGTCCTTTCTGCACCGGCGGCCGCTGCTCCTGTCTGAGGCCCGCTGCCTGGATTTACGGGGTCTGTTTCTGGCTCTCTGCTCCGCTCTGTTGACTCACTCGTCCACTCGTCCATTCGTCCACTCGTCCATTTGTCCACTCGTCCATTTGTCCACTCGCCTGCTGTTTCCTCAGCACCGTCTTGGTCACTGCGACATGTCAGTAAACGCTGAGGCTGGGGAGGGTCAGCGTCCGGCCCGGTTCTCCTTCAATGCTGCTACGTATTCCGGGTCGTCGGCCTGCGTGTGACCTTTAGAATCAGCCTGTCAACACCCACAAGAGAACCTGCTGGGACTGGACTGGTCTGCGCGGAGCCTGCAGGTCCCGTTACGAGGACTGACCTCCCGGCGATACTGAGAATTCCCGTCACGAACGTGCTCTCCCGTTACAGGAATCGCTGCCCTCGGTACACAGACGTCCGACTGAGTGACTTTCTAACCATTAAATTTCCTTTTTCTCTGATGGTGACATGTCTCTGAATTTGTCCCATAAACTTATGGACGGTTTATTCTCTGCCATGGCTGTTGTGACAAACACTCATGTGGGTAAAAATACACAAGTAAAAAGAGGACAATTACAGGTTTATGTGTATATACAGGTTACATGAGAATGAACCTTTTTCGTCCTTTCAATAGTGGAACTTCCCCGAAGGAGGAGATGGTGTAGAACGGTGAAGATTCATCCCGTGGACCCTTCGTGTTGAACAGAATCGACATGTTTTCAAAATTAATTGACGCTCGAATTTACTCTGAAAAATGAGGGGGTGATTTATGAGCTCGTGCACAAATTTAATATTTCTATGAACTTTATGAAGCTGAAAAATGGACATTCTGCGTCTCATTAACAGCTGCAATCGAGTCTTTTGTGTTTCTTAACAATGAAGACACACAATTGGATGATTTGGTTCAAAAAGTGTATTTGTATCCATCAAACGTTGAAAGAGCTCCATTTATCAGGACCACACGGCACTTGCTCAGAAACATGTGTCCTGGACGAAGGCGCTCGGCTTTCCCTGGGCCGGTGGGGCCTGTGAGGTGTGCACGCTCCCTCCTCGGACCCAGAAAGCAAACGTCGGGGAAACTGGGAAACTGACACAAATGTTAGGTCCAGAAGATAAACAGGTGAGAACCGGTCATTGTTTGAAGATGAGCCTGACAGTCTGAGTCCCTCGAGACCACGGCCCGAGTTCGTCCCACCTGCGAGTCTTTCTCGGCGCCTGGCGCATGTGACAGTCAATCCACACACTGAGCGAGGGTTGGAGGGCTGAGTGCCCCGCGGAGCCGTTCCTCTCAGCGACGCCACTAGGACGGGGCACCGGAGCCCGACCTGACCTGAGGCAAAGCCATCACCACGGAAGGAACGCTGGGCACAGGCCCTCTGACCGCATGTGGACACGCCAGCATCCCAGGCCATCGCCAGGGGTGTGACCCTCAGGCCACCCAGGGAGTCCCGTCCCCGAACGTCACTCCTCCCGTATTCGAGACAGACAGGGCCACGTTCACCGCCATGGGTCTGGAAGGACGGGTTCTGTGGGTTCCGTAACGTGAAGTGCGGCCCAGCACGCGACACGTGGGCACCGCACGCAGCTCCTTTGGGACTGACTTACAACATCTTTCACGCTTCCCAGTTCTAACACTGTGCCTGAAGTGTAAGTTTAGAGAGAACGCAATAAAGGAATAGCTGATAAACGAAACAGAAGACAGAGAGAGAACACTTACCACCTCCTCGTGGGTTGCGTTTTCCACATTGATGCCATTAACCTGAGCAGACGACAAATTAAGATTTTGAGGATAACTGATGACTCCAAGTTCAAAACAAAAGTGCAACAAAGCCAGGACTGCAGTGCAAGGCACCGACCTGCAGGATGGCGTCTCCTATGAACAGCATCCCCGTCCGGTCGGCTGCAGAGGGGCACAAGCAGCGAAGTGTTAACAGAAAGTCAGCGACTCGCGTGGGTCACGACAGCTGCTGCGTAAGCTTCGTGTTTGCCGCAACTGGGGGGGGCTTGTGTGTGTTCACGTGCATGTCAGTGTGTGCACACATGTGAGTGTGTCACGTGTGAATGTGAGCATGTGTGTACAGGGTACGTGTGTGCATGTGTAAGTTAGTGTGTCACGTGTGAGTGTGTGAGAATGTGAACATATGTGTATCTGTGCATGTGTGTGCTCGTGTGTGTGAGAATGTGAACATGTGTGTGCTCGTGTGTGTGCATGGGTGTGGGAAATGCCAACAGCACAGCACAGGCAGCCGCCCCCAAGGCTGCACAGATGGCCACTAACTCTAAGCCCATTCGGAGCGTCACTTTCCAAACACAGGCGAGTGTGACGTGGACACAAGTGTCCCCTCCTCCCAGGGAGGGAGGCACTGCCTGGCGTGGGGAGTCTGACCCCATTTCTCACTAAGTCGATACCAACAATACAGTAGGAACCCCAGACCCGCTGAGCAGCCCATTCTCCCCAAAACCAGGTTTGCTTTAACTCAGAGACTGCCCCTCGCCACGTCGCGGCCATGGACTTTCATACTGAAAGTCGGCCCAGAAAGTCAGGTTAAAAAGCAGGTCTGAGAGTCCTGGCCAGTGTGGCTCAGCGGTTAGAGTACCGGCCTGCGCACCGAAGGGTCGCAGGTTCGATTTCCGGCCAAGGGCACGTACCTGGGTTGCAGGTTTCATCCATGGTCAGGGCATGTGCAGGAGGCAACCAATCTCTGTCTCTCTCTCTCTATCCCTCCCCTTCCCCCCTCTTTTTCACTCTTCCTAAAAATCAATGCAAAAAATATCCTTGGGTAACTTGCTTTGTAGCCTGGATTCCTGGACTGGGGGTGCTGAGAGAATAGGGTGGGGAGGCACCACCAAGGTGAGGATCCTAAAGGGCTGGACCAACATGTACCACCTAACGGAGTGACCTTGCTACTCTGGAAAAATCTTTTTTTTATGGAAAACAAGCTGCCCAGCACTGGGGTGGGGCAGAAGTCCATCTGCCCGTTTCCCTCCCACACAGTAGTCACCCAGGAGACGGCTGGAGTTCAGGGTCAGCGTCCCCAAAGCGGCTCCTGTATTATGTGACCACTAACCAGCCAGCCCAGGCCCCCAGGCCCGAGGGAGCCAGTCCACTGGGTAAGTGCCTGGAGGTTTGATGTCATTCACACCAGAGACCTAACAAGCACCACTGCCTCGTCCACCATTAATTCCCCTCATGTCTTACGAGGCCTCGAACCCGCCCCAAGTGCTGGATCAGCAGCACCTTCAGGGGGCCTGGGGTGCCGCCCAGGGGGCCAGTCTCTCGGGCCTCGCAGGGCCAGCAGAAATGAACACGGGGCAGAGTGGAATCAGGGATGAAATAAGATACAGCCACAGACATAAGTGGCAGCCTAAATAATCGAGCAAAAGCAACAGTTGCTAGTTTTTCACTTAAAGTAACATTGTATCTCCCACATGGCCGCAACGCCACGCAGTGATTTTGGCTGTTTTTACCTGCGTGGTCTTTGAATATTTTCGATATGACGACGGGGACTCGGTGCTCGGCGCCTCCCTGGAAGACAGAGGAGCGTGGTTACCGTCCCCGCGGAGGCGCTGGCTGCGGGGGACGTGGGAGGGGGCGCGGTCATACCTTGATGCTCAGGCCCAAGCCGCCCACGGGCTGTCTGCGGAGTGTTACCGTTCTATGCTTTAAAAAATTTTAGAAAACAAACCAAGTTTAGGTTAAAACGCACGATTGGAAAGTGAATGCAAAGCGCATTGAGAACGTCTTACATTAAACTTAAGAAGATGATTGAATACATTCCCAAAGCAGCACCGCTTAACCGCCACCGTAACGAGGCCCGTTCACATCTCCCGGCTGCGGCGCCGAACACGGAAACAAAGATAAAAACAGCCCCCGTTCGGCCGGCAACCCCCGGCTTCAGGGGCCGGGTGCCTCCCTGAACTTATTATAACATTTGTTAGCATTTGGTACGGTTTACGCGTCTCGGCACGTCCTGCTACGTCCGTGCTCCTCATGGATTTACTAGAGAGTGTCCCGAGTCATAACCCAGTGGAGGTGAAGCCACGACGCTGCTTCATCTGTGATTAGCTCGGGAGCTCAGAGCAACAACTGCTCATCCTGAACCTCGGCCCCCAGGCCGTGAACGAGGGCACTGAATTCTCTCGGGCGCAGCCCACGGTGCATTTGCCCTGACGTCAAGTCCCAAATACAGCCCAGGGGCCTATTAAAATCTTCTCCTCTTAGGAACTGCCCACCTCACTCATTCGAACCACAAACGTAACTTGTTACAATTTAGAAAAATATGTCAGATGTACAGTGACAATTACAAAATAAAACAATCTAAACAAACCCCTGGCACGTGAGAATAAACTAGCTCTTTCCTTCTGCAAAGCACAGTTTCTTTAGGAGACGGTTAGAAAGTCCTGAGATTTTAATCTGTAAAACGCCAGGTTGATCTGAAAGGGTGGGAGTCTAAATGAAATATGAATTCGCAGACTCCACACCCTGAGGCCGAATCAGCAGGTTTAGAAAACCCATTGGTTTTAAGGGTAAATTTAGTTTTGGTCCCTTATTTGTGATAAAAGTAGCAACTATTGCTAACTGATAACTGCGGTTACTTTTCCAGCAGGTTCAAGAAAACAAAACAGTCTTCCCTCCGTTGTGTCCGCGCCAACGCGCAGCAAGGACACGGTCCCCCCGGGCACACGGTCACGGGAATGCCGCCGCGGTCTCGGAGAACCAAACTCCCGACCGGCGCCTCAGCCAGCGAGCGTCCACTCGTGACGCGTGCTGATTTTTAGCGAGTACGGGCTTCCCACGGAGAAGAGAGCTCGAAATATAACGATCACTAATCAGTATTGTTTCATATTAGGAAAACTGGTCTGGAAAATCCAAACACCCGTCTGAATGTCACAGCGAACTGCTGGGGACGCCCGAGGCAGGAGCAGACCAAGGGGGCCGGGCTCGCTCCAGGGCGGGGACCGCGACTGGCCCGTCAGCCCGTGGCGGTGCCCGAGCCTCGTCACCTGTAGCTCGGGGAACAGGACGCACCCGCTCACATGAGGCTGGGGCTGTGACCTGGGTCTGCAACGTGCTGGGCAGACCACGGGCACTGTCCTGGGAAAACCTGCAGCGGTGACGATCCCTGTGGCGGTTCTGTTACCTAAGCCTCGGACCCTGACGAGAAGCCGCTTTCTGGACTTTACCAGCTACATCTTCACTCTGTAAATGTGGGTTGAACCGAATCTGATGCTTAACACACTTCACCCCCGGGCTGCACGCGGGGCTCACGGTCAGTGAGACGTAACTTCCCTGCTCCTTTCTCAAGGATCAGCCCTGGGAGGAGAGGCCTTCGTTCCACCTCCTCAGAATCACGTCAGCAGAACCTAAGTGTCCTCAGCCGGGCTCCCCTGCGCAGGGTGACTGGGGAACACTCGACACCGTGAACCCGACAGAACTGCTGTTCCGAGAACCCACAGAGGGGCTCCCACTCGATTCTAAAAGCAGCTGTGACCTGTTAAAAATAGTCTTTCTTGTTCTCTAAACACGATGCCTCGTCACGGCAGGATGGGTTCTGTCTTATAACCGCCGAGGAACACAGCTTCCCTGTCCCTCACTGACGGGCTGGACCCACCGTGGCTCTGTAGCTGATAAATAAGTTTCTTACCCTGAATAAAATGCTGTTTGTAAGTCAGGAGAAGAAGGACCACACTCTAGGAGTGAAATTCATATTCACACCCACAGGTGCACAGAGAGCGAGGAGGGAGAGAAACACTGACGTGAGAAAGACACATCAGTCGGTGCCTCCTGGAGGAGGCCCCAGTCGTCCAGGGATCGAACCTGCAACCCAGGTACGAGTGCCCTTGACCGGAATCAAATCCATGGCCCTTCAGTGAGAGGGCCGATGCTCTTACCACTAAGCCACACTGGCCAGGGCAGAGGCTATTGTTTTACGTAAAGTTCCTCAAGGGAAATGTATCAGCAGAGAAAGTAAGAAAGACAGGGAGGGAGGAAGTGCTAAGACCTCGACCATGACCCTCCGTGATGTGATAATCAGCCAGCAGCCGGGCACCTTAACAGAGGCGGTGGCCCCTCAGCGTGATCAGCCCTGAGCCACTGGTGACATACGTGGCCTCGTGTGTGTGAGCCCCTCGGGCTCACCTGGACGCTGTGAACAGACCTGGCCTGGGAGCTGCTGGGGGCACTTACATTTGCACCGGGATTGCTTCCACTAACACAGACGACATCCTGCGTTTGAATTGTCAGTACCTCTTTTGTCAGCTTCAGCCGGACGTCATGGGCATTTCCAGACACTTGGTCATGCAACAAGGCTATGCCGGTCTTCGTCTGCAGACACAAAGCAGAAACAACGGCAGGTGTGAGGGCCCACACTGCAGGCTGCTCCTGTTCGACAGCTTCCTGAACACACCTGCACACAGGCCAGGCAGCCACCGGGGCGGCACCCACCAGGCTCCGCAGCTGGACAGCAGGCAGGACCTCTGTCCCCAGCCGCTCAGAGCCCTCAGGGCGGGTGGTTGGGCCAGGTGTGCGGACCAGAACCTGGAAGGACAGGAAAGGGATGCTTCCCACGGTCACACTTGCTCCAGAAAAGCAGCCGTGTTTGTGCTAAAGGAGGCAAACCTGAGGGGTATGTCGAAACGGCACCCTGGCTCCCTTTCCTGCGACACACACACAAAGCCCGGCCCCTGCACCGCGGCCCCTCATGTCCCCGTTCTCTCCCCAGGCTTCTCCGGGTCACCAGGGAGCCCAGCTCTCCCTCTCCACCTGCCAGTCACTGGGACAGGCCAGCCCAGGCCCCACCACGCCGGGCAACTTGATCTCCACCCTTCCTGCCGAGGGGGCTGCACCTGCTCCCAGATCTGTCGCATTAATGACCCGGACACAAACCTCCACTGCTGCTCTGGGGCCCTGACCTCCACGCCGGCCATGGCACCAGCTGCGTGTTAGCACCTCCCAACACCCCTTCCAACGTCTCACATGCTACCTACACGTGCACACATATGTACGCACAAACACATGCCCGTGCACACAAACACATGTACATACACACATGTACACGGACATACAACAACACAGCACCTATGTCAATGCTGTGGCGAGGGCAGCAATACAGGTTCTGGCTCACACAGGCCGAGGCTGCAGTTGCAAACCTGGAACCCAAAGAGTAAAAGCCAAAGGCCGACCACTAGGAGCTCAGGCCGTGTCTGCACAGGGTGTCATCTGGGTGTGGTGTCAGAGGTCACTGTCCACTTTGTAATAAATGCACTTTCCTCCAGCAGGACTGGGAGCCCCTGTGGGGAAACGCGAGGCTCGGCGGCTGCCTGCTTCCTGTTCGGGATTCACCGGGATGTTTACAAACATGCTCAGAGGCGGACGCTCACTGAGTGACGATCCTGTGAGGGGCCGTGATGCCATGAGGGGTGACAGCCGCAGGCAGGGCTGTGGCCGCTGTGGATCGGGGCAGTGGGGTGCTCTGGGGGCCCTGGGTCTGCTGATGAAGAGAGGGGCCCAGGAACACAGCGTCAGCACCCTGGACAGCAGAAGGAGAGGCCACACCCAGGGGTTGTCACCCAAGGGAGCCGGGGGACAAGGCTGATGCTGTACTTGGTCCTTTAGCACAAGAAATGTTTTTACTTTTAAAAAGGTGCAGTCATGATCCATCTACATCAACATATAAAATACACTCACACACAGTATTCATTTCAGCTCATTCACCTCTCCAAGTGCCATTTCCAGCAGTTAGTGGTCTCGGAGGTGAAGTTGTCTCTGCCCCGGGGACTTACTTTTAAAGTAAGTTTTAAAAAGAGAACAGCTTTCAGGAGAAAGGTCAAGAAAAGCACGTTGGGGCTGCCACTAGTCAAGCCCAGGGTTAAACCTCATTAAACAGGTACAACGCCAGCCGATGGGAGGAGTGGGTGCAGTGCAGGCCCAGCCCAGTGTGCTCTTAACATGCTTCCCTGGAGGGTCCCCTGTTTATTCGGAAATAAGCACATTTTCCTCACTGAACTGTTGACACGTGTGAGTTAAAGAAGGAATATCATCTACTGAGAGAAACTTAATAAAAAGCTATGAAACTGCACAGAGCAGGGGGAGTTCCAGTGAACCAAGGCCTAGCCCACACAGGACGAGGGGCGGGAGGACCAGTTTTTTGTTCAGTCCAGTTTTAGCCACACGGCGGGGGCACCTTACATGGTTCTCCGCAACAGAGTCCAAATTTCCGACGCTGTCCCTTGACCTTGGTCTCCTCGGCCTCTCCAGCAGTAAAGATCATGTGGACCACCCCCAACAGACGGCATTCATTCTGTACACGGCCTAATGGACACCATGAGGTTTCAATTACTTTTATAATATGTGAAAAACAAAGTGTCTATAGAGAGCAGAATGATGTCATAGAAAAAGCCTCGATGACAACCAAATTAATCCAGTTCTGTCACGTGCTGGCTGCACCCGTTTGGACAATCGACCTCACTTCTCTCGCCACTGTTTACTGATATGCAAAGTTAGGTAGTTTCATCCCTTGCAGGATGACACAGGGAGTGAATTAGATGGTAAAGTGGTGCTGGGGGAGGGGGGGATACCCACTGCAGCCCGAACACCCCCCAAACAAGGCTCAGAGACGGGGCTTTGTGAAGACAGCTGAGGGGCTCCCGCCAGTCCTCCCGTTTGCCCTCCCTTGTCAGACAGCCCTGCACCCCACCGAGGTCCCGACCACCTCTCAGCTGCCACAGCTCCTCTGCTCCCTTCCACCCGAGCATGGCATCGTCCCATCCCTGTCACCCGCTGCCATCTCAGACACGCTCCCTCTGCCAGGCAGCTGTGATCCCCAGGGGCACAGACCATATGTGCTATAACGAGCATTTGCCGAAGCACCTGCCACAAGGTTAAGCACATTTCAAAAACGTGTCAGATAACTATTTGTTAAATATATGTTACAATACTATAATGCATCACTCATTAATGGAGCAGCTACAAAGTAATGTTTCAATTTTAATTTAAAGGTATCAGTGAGGGGAAAGCTATTGTATTCTGGGGAAATCTGTAAACTTTGCCCCTAGACATGCACCCCGAAAGTGCTGTGCATCCTGGTTTCCCCAGCATGTTTCGTCTCTCAGGAATGCCAGGGACATCTTCAAACAACACGATCTGTGCTGTAATTAGAATAGTGACACGTTCTGTCTTCTCCACTGAGAGCAAACGCGCCATTTGAGGAAGGAAAAGCATCCCACAGGCTAATCAACAATCTTCCGGACAGGTTGTCAGGGTGTACAGGCTACTTAAAACCCCTCAGCCTGAGGTTCCTCCCCACCTCACCCCGAGCCCTCGGACATCGCCCTGCCTTTCTCCACCAGCCTGGGATCTGCCACAACACGTGCTACGTGCTGGCTTCCTGCAGAAAACTAGTTAACTGTTCAAATTTGCACCATCTGCTGATGAGTGTAGGTCAACTCAGGTAAAGGGCCATCTTTACAAACATTCAAAACAAAAAAAGAAGCTGGATCCCATATGACATTTCCTCTTGATCGAAGGGTAATTACCTTCATCCCTCCACCCAAAACAGCCCTGTGCGAGCTGGGAGGGGAGCAGCTGCAGGTCCCAGAGGGGCTGCCGGGTGGGAGTGCAAATGTCCCCCACTCGCCCCAGGCCCCACCCCAGGGCCCGGGAGGAAGAGAGACACATGGCAAATATGAAATTCTGTAATCCCAATGTCCATGTCCCCCACATACACATTTTTACTGTTATTTGCAGAGCAATATCTTATGTCTATTTTACACAAGATATATACTATATAACATACACACCCAGAAACAATAAAAACAGATAAATAAAAAGCACTTCCTCTCTTTCTCTCTCCTCTTCCGAGCTTTGCGTCTCAGAAAAGAATGAACTGGTTGGGCGTCTGAACACAACACTTTCCTTCATCTATTTTCCCTCCCCATCTAGGAAGCGGTGATAATACTTGCCCACCTCGGTATTTATAACTCTCGTGAGCAAAATTAAGGTAAGTAGTTATGAGGATTCATGACAAACAGCAACACCTGGGCTGCTGAGGGGGGTCCCACAGAGAAGGACCGTCGACCCAGCCGGGGTCAAGCGTTCCTATAACCTCAGCCGTGGAGAAGCTGCCTTCCCCACTGAAGTTCTGAGAGACCAGCCACGGGAAGTCAGCTTCTCTCTCAAAATCAAACCATTCTACAGGTATCCTCTGACATCAAACAACAGCCCTGGCTGGCAGTGCTTTGGGGCTGGTGGGTGCCCGTCTGGGCGTGGACCAGCACTGCGAGAGCTGGAGCTCGATTCCGGGACAGGTGGGCAAAGGTTACCTGCCCTGCCCAGGTCTCAAGTCCAGAGCCTGGTTTCCTACTTCCTAGAAATGAACTCCGTGCAAAAAAGGCACATCCACCAGCTCACACAGATGGTTTTATTTCAGAAGAAAGAAGAAAGATCTTAATTACAGAAGTTTCTCTAGAATGAAACACTTTCTCGCCAGTTTCCACATTTGCCCCAAAAAGAGAGAAATAACACCCAACCAGTGTCTCTGCAATGAGAGCAGGCACACATGTCCCGGTAGAATTTATTTAGTGAAACCTGATACATAGTAATGAGGAAAAGGCAGCTATTCCTGGGGAGCTGGGCCTCTTTGCTTCAGGAGAGAGGTCTTTCTGCAGAGACCAGGCTGTCTAAGCGTGAGTGTGATTTAGATACAGTATCTGGTTCTCTGGCAACACTTGATGATTGGATTTTGTATCTTCACAAATTGAGGTGCCTGCTTTCAGAAAAAATGAACAACAGATCTCTCGGTAGGAAAACGACTATAATGTACTTCTGCTCAGAAAATCTACCAGCAAGCTGTGTGCCCACGACATCTCCTTTGTGCTGAAAACCTCCCGTGAAGGGAGCAATGGCTCCTGTCAATCCTCACAGTTCTGATAATAAAATCTCCACTCTGCAGGATAAAACACTCTCTGGACTTGCAGGCTGAAGACCTGGGTTTGAGAATGGAAAATGGGATGTTTTGCTTCCTGTTGAGCTCGGCAGAGTCTTTGTTTGTCCCGTTACCATGACCTGTACTTTACCCAGGTGCCCTGCTGCCCCTCCCCACCCCTTGCCCAGGTACGATGATCTATCCAGCACCGCCCTTCACCCCACCCCACAGGGAAGGCGGTGCCCTCCCAGAGGCACTACAGCAGGACACTCTCAGCCAGGGGCACCCCAACAGCACAGCCCATAGCTAATGGATGGAGCCATTGGGTGAAGTATAATTATCGGAAGGGAAATCATGAAGGGTAATATTCAACAGGACAGAGATGAGATATAGAATAAATTCT